TAGTATGAGGCGTCCTCAATGTCTCACCTCTTACTGACTCAGTTCGCCCAATATCTCGTGATGGCTGATGTGATCGCTTATTTTCCTTGCCATGCTGTGGAACTACTGGGATTGCTCTCTGCCTCCCTTTCTGGGCATCAGTCTTTACAGCTGGCATCGGCGTGTCTTGCAATGGGAATGACGGTTGCATAACATTGTTCTGCATCATAAAGTGGACCATTGACTGAAGGTCGGCCAACTTTTTCCCTATCTCTTTCATCTCCCAATCCCTGCTTAGGCATTTATTCTTCTATACCTGGAGGTCATTTTCGTTGTACTACTCTTCTCGGTCGACTTTTTTCTAGGCCTTTCCTTCTTTGCCAATATCCTTCTCTCCAAGATTCGGATCCTGTGTCCTCTCGTTACGGTTTTCCTCTCTAGCGTTAGGATCTGTATACTCACAACTCTCACTGTTGATATCGTCCCTGACCTTTTCTTTTTGTGCGTCGTTGGCCATTTATTCTCCTTAGGTTCTCACAGACGGTGCCAAATTGTGGGTGTAAATTTTCGACCACACAACCAAACGGGGAACTCAGCTGGAGAGAACCGACATAATAGATTAAGCCCGAACAACCAGTCACAAAAAGATAAGGATCTGACGGTAGTTCTTCTACATGGGGGCACTCCAACGATTAAGTCAGTAAACAAATATCTCTCACAGATAGCAAACTGTGCTTAAACTCACAAGAAAGAACCTACCTTTGACTCATGTGGGTGCCTTGCTTTTACAACCAGTAGTGACCTGATCCATTTAGAAGCCTAGCTTCAGTGGACTAAGGCTCAATGCTCATCCTGGACCTCATCTAGATAGAGATAAACTCTCCTTGAGCCCTATCTTTATCCAGAATGAGATCCTCCCTTGTTCTAGGACTCTCATCCCTTATCCGTTTATCTTGGATTCTGATATCTCTGCAGATAACCTCGGCCTAGCCAAGATCATCTCGGCAACATGACCGGGCCACGTGGTATCTCGACTGACACTTCGGTGTCACCTTTGCCACGTGTTGTTATTCACAAAATATGTCCCCACAATTTGAAATTAAAACTATAGTAAATTTATGTAAGTATAATTGCTAATCACATTTTTTTACTTAATGTATAATATTTATATTGACTACATTTTTTAGGTTTAATTTTTTAAAGTATTTATATAGAAGTAAAAAAATATCATTAGGAATAAATTTTTCCTTAATTTAGTTATAAATTTTGCCTGTACATTATTTTTAAATTTTGAATACAAGTAAATATAAAATAATTGATTAAAAATATATTGCATTTGTTATATTTTTTCCTATGTGCAAAAACGAAAAAAAATAAAAATAAAAATCACAATGGACAAATATATAAATAATTATAAACATAACTCGTGCATAGCACGGGCGGAACACTAGTAATTTTTATTTAAAAGTAAAAATAAATAAATAAAGTTACTTGTAAACAATTAAGAGAAGATACCAAGATGGTAGTGTGGTCCCAAATCTGTATTATGTGATCCTAATATGGTGAATCGCGAGTTGGTAAATTGTAAAGTAACAAAGAAGACAAAGAAAACACAAAAATACTTAACAAGTACTGTGAATAAATAAAAAAATAAAGAATTTCATACACTTGGGTTTTAGGATTTTAGCCTTACCATAATTAGAGTTGTGTGCACTCACCAAAAAAAAAAAAAGTTGTGTGTCAGTATTTGGTTGAGCACGGGCGGAACACTAGTAATTTTTATTTAAAAATAAAAATAAATAAATAAAGTTACTTGTAAACAATTAAGAGAAGATACCAAGGTGGTAGTGTGGTCCCAAATCTGTATTATGTGATCCTAATATGGTGAATCGCGAGTTGGTAAATTGTAAAGTAACAAAGAAGACAAAGAAAACACAAAAATACTTAACAAGTACTATGAATAAATAAAAAAATAAATAATTTCATACACTTGGGTTTTAGGATTTTAGCCTTACCATAATTAGAGTTGTGTGCACTCACCAAAAAAAAAAAAGTTGTGTGTCAGTATTTGGTTGGGATTGGGATTTTAAAAAAAAACAACAACAACATGGGTGCATGTGGTGTCAATGTGTTTGGGATCCAATTGGGAGGGTTGTGCTAGAGCATCCCCAGCAATACCCTTATATTAACATTTTAGCCAATATAAAGAGTTTTGTTGTCATAAACCACCCCCAGCAGGTCTCTTATCCAACTCCCAAATAAAAGTGTTACTACAGTGACTCCCTATTTGTAGAGTCACTGTAGCTCTCTCATATTGATAAATTCTTATTTTATTGCAGCAGAAGGCGCGAAGGATGTCTTCCCGGACGTTCCTCCCGAATGTCCTGTAAGAGTCCTGGAGCTAAAGAAGAAAAATATTCAAAATTAGCTTGACCGGTCGACTGCTCGATCGTTTGGTCGGTCGACCGCCCCTGTTTGCTTTCTTTGCTGCTTCATGTGTTGCTGTTGCATTTGTTTTCATTATTTTATTATTAAAAAAATATTTAAATTTAAAAGTAATTAAAAATATTATTTTAATAGAATAAAGAAAGAATAAGAAGTTTGATGAGAAAAGTTAATAAAAAAGTAATTCCTAAAATAGGAAATGAATTTTTTAATAATATTTTATGATAAAATTTAGATAAATCAGTGGAGATACTCTTTGTGTATGAGGCAAGCAAGATCCCAAAAAAAAAAAATTTAAAAATTAAAATTTAAAAATTAAAAAGCCAAAGGGGCATGTGACCCATCGCTCCGATGTCACACCTATTGCATTCCAGCAATAGAATAAAGATTGAGACCCCTTTTCTCTCACCCCCTTTTGACCCCTTTACTTTTTTGTCACTTTTTTTTTTTTTTTTTCCTTCTCTAATCACCACCCGCCACGTGTGTGGAGGTGATGGGAATTGAAATTTAAAGGGGTCTAAATCACTGCTGCCAGCAATATTATTCCAAATGTTTCTAGAGACAACACATCCTCGTAGAAGGTGTTCCATATGGTGTGACAATGGCATGTGGAACAGCTCGCAATCAATGCCTCTATTTATGATGGGCAGCGCTGTCTTGCCATTTGCAATCTAGATACCACGACTTTATGATTATTTGAAGATATTTTTTAGGACTAATGTTGCATATGTATTAATTATTATATTAATTAATATGTTAATTGATAATGTGAGATAATTTAAAATATTTTTGATATTTTTATTGTCATAATTAGTAGGATTAATAATAATATCAAAATTAATATTGGTACACTAATTAGTATATGTAACACTATTCATTTTTTAGACATAGTTTCAAAGACTTTTCCGACTATTAAGACTTTTTAATTTTTTTATCAAATTAATTATTTTTATTTTTAATTAAAATAATAAAAAAATTATTTTCGATAGTTTTAGCTCAATAAATATAGCTAATAGACTAATAGTTTTGGTTAGACATATGTTTATAAAAAATATTACTGGAGTTAGTCATAAATAACTGACAAAATTGATAAAAAAATCAACTCTAGCAATTGTTTAAGATATTAGGTCTAATGATTTTTTTTTTATTGGTTAAAAATCTATATTTTATGAAATAGTTTGGTGAGAAGTCTGAATGATATTTTGTTTTCAATTTTACCCGTTGACTTTTTTTATATGTTTTACTTTTCATTAACTATCTGTTCAAATTTGTATCTATTTGTTTAATTTTTTTTGTCTATCTGTTCATTTTTTCTATGTAAATTTTCTATTTGTCGAAATCTTATTTGTGCAAATTTTCTATCTATCTAAATTTTACCTGTCCAATTTTTTATCTATACAAATTGTATCTGTGCAAATCTTCTATCTGTCCACATTTTAACTATGAAAATCTTCTCTGTCCAAATTTTATTTGTATTTTCTATCTGTCTAATTTTTTATCAATTCAAAATTTATCTATACAAATTCACAAGTTTATTATACCTATCTGTTCAACTTTTATCTAAACAAAAGTGTATACGGACAACTTATGTTCAATTTTTCACAATATCTGTGCAAATATCTGTTTCATCATCATCCACAACAAAAACATCATCACCATCATCAATATCATCAACTACAACCAATGGAAGGGTTTTGGCTAAATTTCCCCAATATACTTAAATACAAAAAAAAAAAAAAAATCAAATACAAAAAAATTATTCTAAGAACTCTTTGAAAAATTAAAATTATAAAGAACATAATTTACCAACAGAATTTTAATACCTAAAATTTATACTGAATGATACAACCATGATGAGTATTTTGCTTTGAAAAAAAAAAGCAAATACAAAAAAATAATTCTAAGAACTCTTTGAAAAATTAGAATTATAAAGAAAATAATTTACAAATAGAATTTTAATACATAAAATTTCTATTGAATGATACAACCATGATGAGTATTTTGCTTTTCACTAAATAAGGGTCCAATGGAAGGATTTTGGCTAAATTTCCTCAATATGCTCAAATACAAAATATATATATTCAAATACAAAAAAATTATTCTAAGAACTCTTTGAAAAATTAAAATTATAAAGAAAATAATTTATAAACAATATTTTAATACATAAAATTTATACTGAACGATACAATCATGATGGGTATTTTGCTTTGAAATAAAAGAGTCATGCAAGACCACATTATTTTGTATAACTTTTTTTTTTATATGAAAATTATGTTTACATAGCATTACTCAAAATCATAATTTTCTTGCTCAATTAGGACTCATTTCGCAAGTTATAGTTTTAATTTAAAAGTCAAAAAATTACTAAAAAATCAAAGAACTTATAGCTAGATTAAAAAGTCAAAGATTTTCTTTTCTCTCTACTATTTACATATTTTTTTTATAAAAAATTTAAAAATTATTCTAAACATATTAATTTTTTTATCTCATATTTTAATCAAAAAATTAAAAAATTATTAAAATTGAATAATCCAATGCATGTGGAATAAATTAGAAAAGTATGAGCATGCCTAGTCTGAACATTGTAGGCAATGAAAGTCCAAAGGAATCTGTAAATCTATGAACACAACCATAAATCAATTGTTGTCAGGAAGATAGAGAGGCAGAGGAAGAGAGAGGGATGGGGCTTGAACACTTCAGCCATGACCATCCACTAATCCTCACAACAGAGCACATGTATGATGATGATGGTGTTGTGATAATTTCTTGCTACGCGTGTGAGCAACTAATAATCTCCGGTCAATCCTACTACGGTTGCAATGGTTGTTGGTTTTTCCTGCACAAATCATGTGCAGAACTACCCAAGAAAATTACACATCCTTCTCATCTTGAACACCCCCTTACTCTCTTTTCAAACCCAACATATAGAAGCCTTTGTGATGTCTGTAGAGAAACCTGCAACAGATTCATTTACCATTGTTCCTCATGCAACTTCGATGTTGACTTGAAGTGTGCTTCGGTGGCGTATAGTATTCAACAGAGGATTGAGCACAAAAGTCACACACAACACCAGTTGATCTCTCTTCAAAAGCCAGCCATGTTCTTTTGTGATGCTTGTGGTACAAAACATGAGGGCACCTCCAATCTTTGTACCACCGGTGGGTTCTGGGTCAACCAGAATTGTGCTAATTCATTACCTAACACCATTAAACTCACTAATCATCCTCATCCTCACCCTCTCACCCTCATCTATTCTATTCCATTTGAATCTTACCGATCTTCGCCCGTCTGCGCAATCTGTCACGAGGGAGTGTACAGAAGAAATTGGGTTTATTATTGTTCCAACTCTGAATGCATATATTTTGTCCATGTAGATTGTGCAACATCAGAGACTGAACATTACATGTTGACCCGTTTTCCTTGCAACTCATTTTCTTCTTAAATGGTTTACTTTGTTTTTGATTTTTTCAATTATGTTTCATCCTTGATCATGTGGTTTCAGAGATTGCAAATCAGAGGCTGAACTTAAAGATCTTGATCTTAATCTAAACGACCTTAATCTTGTTGATTCGGGGATAACATCAAATACCAAACTATCCAGGTTGACCATCTTTTTCTCTTGGAACTCTTCTTTTTATTGTCTCATCAGTTCTTTCCTTATTATTTGATTACATTCAATTATTTTGGGTAAATTACACTCACTCCCCATGAGATTTTTGACAATTACAAGAACCTCTCCGATAATTTTAATAATTATAGAAACCATTCTTATTTTTTAAACTACTATTAAGATTTCCCACTATTAATCTTCTGTTAATTTATTTAATTACATAAACCATCCTTATTTTTTAAACTATTATTAAGATTTCCTACTATTAAAAAGTTATTTTGGACTGTTTGGTTAAACTTATTTCAAACAGTTTCTGATTCTAACAGCTTATTTTAACTCAAAAAAGCTGATTCTGGGAAGCTGCTCACCCCTTGCTTCTGATTATCAGCTTCTGCTGTGGACATGTTAATTTATGATTATACTCTTAAATTTTTTTATTTTTTATTTTTTTAAAAATAGAAAAAGACTCAATTGGACTATAGATTATTATTAATTTTTTTATGAGAAATGTAGACAAACAAAAAATAAAAATTAATTGAAAAAGCTATTTCACAGCTTATTTAACAAACACTACTCAGCAACTTAAATCTATAATCCAACAGCTACACCAAACAGATTAACAACTTCTGATTAAAGTCATAATCTATAATCTGTTAAGCTATAATCTATAAGCTGTTTTAACAGCTACACCAAACGGGGCCAATACGCACGAATTGGGCTTTGAAGATTAAGGAAGACGTCACCAAGCAGATAGATGCAGGGTTCTTGTTAGTATCTGAGTATCTGACTTGGTTGGCCAACATTGTTCTGGTGTCGAAGAAAGATGGCAGAATTCGGGTGTGTGTGGATTACTTCGATGTTGACTTGAAGTGTGCTTCGGTGGCGTATAGTATTCAACAGAGGATTGAGCACAAAAGTCATACACAACACCAGTTGATCTCTCTTCAAAAGCCAGCCATGTTCTTTTGTGATGCTTGTGGTACAAAACATGAAGGCACCTCCTATCTTTGTACCACCTGTGGGTTCTGGGTCAACCAAAATTGTGCTAATTCATTACCTAACACCATTAAACTCACTAATCACCCTCATCCTCACCCTCTCACCCTCATCTATTCTACTCCATTTGAATCTTACCGATCTTCGCCCATCTGCGCAATTTGTCACGAGGGAGTGTACAGAAGAAATTGGGTTTATTATTGTTCCAACTCTGAATGCATATATTTTGTCCATGTAGATTGTGCAACATAGAGACTGAACATTACATGTTGACCCGTTTTCCTTGCAACTCATTTTCTTCTTAAATGGTTTACTTTGTTTTGGATTTTTTCAATTATGTTTCATCCTTGATCATGTGGTTTCAGAGATTGCAAATCAGAGGCTGAACTTAAAGATCTTGATCTTAATCTAAACGACCTTAATCTTGTTGATTCGGGGATAACATCAAATACCAAACTATCCAGGTTGACCATCTTTTTCTCTTGGAACTCTTCTTTTTATTGTCTCATCAGTTCTTTCTTTATTATTTGATTACATTCAATTATTTTGGGTAAATTACACTCACTCCCCATGAGATTTTTGACAATTACAGGAACCTTTCCGATAATTTTAATAATTACAGAAACTATCCTTATTTTTTAAACTACTATTAAGATTTCCCACTATTAATCTTCTGTTAATTTATTTAATTACAGAAACCATCCTTATTTTTTAAACTATTATTAAGATTTCCCACTATTAATCTTCTGTTAATTTGTTTAACAGAATATGATGATATCATGCAGACGTCATGTACTATAAGTAAAAAATTTCAATATTGTCCTTATATATTCAAATAATAAATTTTTACAAAAAATTAATAAAGACCCATACATTATTTTAATAATGTTGGACAAAATTATTAAATTCCATATAATATTTTAAAAAAATTCTAAATTGTTAAGACAAGCATATATAGTAGAATAACCAAATAGTACATTATCTAAAAAAAAAGAAAAGAAAAAAAAGAGCTAATAAATTGATTACCATTAAACCTTATACTAGATTAAATATAATCATTTATTTAAAAATTACGAAACAAAGTATAAAAGATGTTTTATTTTTTAAAAAGACCACCAATTTTAGAAATAATTATTTTGAGAAATTAGAGTTTGAATAAAAATTTAAAAATACATATAGATATTTAATTTTTTTTTCCCGTATGTAAAATACATATTTGAAGAAATTGTCCCTCTCTTTCCATTTTCTTTATTTTATTTCTTTCATTTTTCTTTCTATTTATTTTCTCATTCATTTTTTCATAGTGTCACCGCAGCAAATAGCAACACCATATAATTTTTTATTATTATTATTTTTTCTTTCTCTATGTTTTTTTCATCATTTTTTCTCATTCATCAATGTTAGCTAGCATCACCCAATACCATAGCAAATTAGGAAACATGAATTTTTCTTTTGTTTTGTAAACATATTTGTGTATTATTTTTTTTTTAAGAAAATAAACATAATAACATTTCATGTTTATAATTAAAAAAATTTGACTTATAGAAATTACCAAATGTTATCTCATAAATATATTTAAAAAAAATTATCATTTTATCTTTTCACAATCCTATATTATTCTCAAATTTTAATTATCATTAAAAAAACAAGTCAATATTTCTCACCTTAATAATAAAATTTTAAAAATAAATATAAAAATGAAAAAGTATCTAATCATGTTACAATAAATTAAAATTAGATGATAGGGAATGAAAGATAAAGAAATTATTTGAGAATAATAAATTATTTAAATTTGTCATTTCTTACATCTAATTAAAATAGAATTTTACTTGAAGAAATAAATTATTTGAAAATAATAAAATTCTCAAATAATTTGTTATTTATTATCTCTAAAATCTACATCTCCATCTTTGGTTCTTTCATTTAAATTATTTTATTAAATTAAATCTCAAAATTAATTCAAATAAGAAACATGGATATTCTTTCTTAATTTCATTAATGGTTGATTTTTTTTTTTTTTTAACTTATAAAAGTTCAAAACTTATAGTGTAAAAAAGGAAATACAAAGTCAAGGAAATACAAAAAAAAATTTGTGAGAAATAAAATGGTAATTTAATATATATGTAAATTACAATTAAAGGGTAATAAGTGTAAAGGGTATTAAGGTCATTTGCATAACCAAGTTAACATCGTTTGGTTTAAATTAACGGGAGGGGAAAATCTTGACAATGTCAGAAAAAGTAACGTAGATTTTTATAATTATTGAAATTACAGGAGAGGTCCTGTAATTGCCAGAAACCTCAAGAGAGATAAGTGTAAATTATTTTTCATTTTGTGGTTTCAGGGAGTGCAAAGCAGATACTAAAGCTGAAATCTTTGACCCTTATTTGATCAATTTGCCAATGGCCAATGAATTTGTTGATCTGGTGACCCAATTTATCAAGGGCATTAGACTACAAGGGAAGTATGAAGGGGCGACAAAGATCCAACATGTTAGTCATGGGCACCCTTTAATTTTTTTCGACGAACAACTTGACAGTGAGTCGTGCTCTACTGGGAACAAATTGCCCCTCTTGAATGAGGTGATGAAGAATGATGAAAAATGCAATGGGTGTGCACAAACCATTTCTGCTCCATTTTTTTATTGTGCTGAATGTAACTTCTTTCTCCACGAGTGGTGTGCAGAGTTACCCATTGAACCGCGACACCCATGTCACCCAGAGCATCCACTTTGCCTGACCCCAGATTTTCATATATTTGGATGCATATGTTGCGGATCAGATAGCAATAATACGTTTTTTTTCGGCTGTTCTACTTGCAAATACTTCATCGTCGATTTTAAGTGTGCATCCCTACCACGCATTATCAGACACAAAGCTCACAAGCACACCCTCGCTCTAAGGCAAACATGGTCTGGTAGATGCGGTGCCTGTAATGTTGTTGATCATCAATTTGCATTTGTGTGTGACCCTTGCAATCTGAATATTTGTCTTGGGTGTGCTGTTTTGCCGGGTACGGTTAGTTACAGATACGATAGACACCCATTCACCCTAACCTATTCCCCTCCTCTCAAAGACCCGAACGTGGATGAGGAGTACTATTGTGAGATTTGTGAGGGGGAAATAAATCCGAAATTGTGGTTCTATCATTGTGTCATTTGTGATCAATCTCTTCATACACTGTGCATCCGTCCTATTGATTGGAATCCAAATGTCAAGTACAAGGGGATCACTAAATTCCATCAGCATCACCATCACCATCACCCACACCTTCTCAGACGTGCCGAAATCTCCATGGAGAATAGTGATATTCAATCACCATGCAGCCAATGTGGCAAATGTTTTGGAGACGATTCGCATATGTACTACAAATGTCCACTTTGTGTTTTTTTCCTCTACCGTTGCTCCTTCTCGAAAAAATAAAATTTGTATAAACTGAAATTTGGTGAAAATCTATTTGAAGATTTTCAAATCCGAATTGTGATAGTTTTGGGCTTCATTGACTGGGCTATTTTTTTAATTTTAATTTTAATTTTTGGTTGTTGATGATCCAATTATCAACAGAGGAATGAAACAATGTCCTGTTACAAAATAAAGTGAATTTAGTTCAAATTCAATAATGTAATTTGTGGAGTTGATTGAGATTGCAAAATCATACACTCAAGTCAGATCATAATAAGGGTAAATTTAAACTATTAAAAGTTAATCACTAAAAATAAATTTTTTTGTGATGATTTTTTTACATATGTAGTTAAAATTAACAATTAGTGACATTTTTTTGTCACGATTTTTACAAATTATCGCTAAAAATTACAATTATTAACATTTTTTGTGACGAATTTTTCAAATTGTTGTCAATTTCTGCTTCAAAAATCTATGGATATAGCTCTCTCTCTCTCTCTCTCTATGGTTTGGCTGCTCTGTTTTTTCTTTATTAGTACTAAATTTTTTTGTTTTGCTCAATTGTGTTTTTTTGGATAGGATCAATGATGATTGATAAAAACTGCGTTATCTATCTGTAATTCCCTCAAAAGGGATTGAAGATGGTCATATTATTCTGAGATCGATTTTACCACACTATTTGTTTTTGTTTTTTTCTTTTCTTTTTTGGCTCATTAGTTTTAATGTGTTTATGGAATCAATGGATTTAGGTGAGCATCAGTGATGAGTAAACCTTTTGTTATCCTTGCACTTTGATTGCTAGTGAAGAAAACTACGGGGACTACTGACTCTAAGATGCTTGTCATTTTTTCATGTTCTGTTTTCTCCTATTTTCTCTATAGGTTTTGTTTTCAACTTCATTATTGTACCACTTCAAAATGTAATAGGTTTTTTTGTATGATGCTTTCATTTGATGACATGAACCACTCCAATGGTCAAACTAACATTAAAGAATACATTTGAAAACCTTCAATTGTATATTTGTTGGAGTAAAATAATATACATTTGAACGGTTTCTATAGTATTATTGTTTGGGTAAAATCTTCACCAAACACAATATAGCTTTGCAAATTTAAAGTAAACATTATTTCATACCCCTCGCTCAATAAGAAAATGAATCAAAATCTACAGGATCAAACCTTAACAATGAGTCAATCTACAGGATCAAACCTATGGGACTTAAGTAGTAATATAAAAAAAGAGAGGGAAAAATATTAAATAAAAGTAAAAAAAATAAGTAAACACTACAACAAAATCGAATTTTCACGGCTTGCAATGCATGCCGTAAAAACTCTTTCACGGCATGCACACAAATGCCGTTATATGACATGTCGTAAAAAGTTGAATATCATTTACGGCATACAAGTAAAGTTGTAAAAAGTAATAAATTAAATATTAATGACATACTTTGTTTGTCGTAAATAATATTTTACTACATTTTTTACATGCCATAAATTATTATATTTTTCATAACATTATTTTGCATGCCGTAGAAAGTTATTTTTAATATATTTATAACATACTTTGTATGCCGTATACTCTTTTACGACATTTTTTTGCATGCCATAAATCATTACACTTTTCACGACATAATTTTACATGCCGTAAAACGTTATTTTTAATATATTTATGACATATTTTGTATGCCATATATAATATTTTATGACATTTTCTTGCATGTCATAAATCATTACACTTTTTATAGCATAATTTTGCATACCATAAAAAATTATTTTTAATATATATACACACACACACACAAGAACATAACCCTGCCTAGCCGTATGCACCTCCAAACAATGGCAGTCGCTTATAAAGCGCGGCAACTTGTGAACAAATCAAACAGAAGCAGCAACTATGAATTAAGAAAAAAAACTAACATCCACACACCAAACAACCTGCATACTAGCTTCCATCCTCAACTTCTATCATATCAAGCTAATAATAACCTCACAAACGTACAAACTAAGAAAAGTATCCAAATCATATAATTCACTAATTTCCAAAATATTACTTTAAATATACAACTCCACCTACTAATTTCTTGGGGGTAAAAAAAAAAAAAAACACAAACTGCATAAATAAAAGAACAGAAACAAATCAAAGAATATATTGGTATTTTACATGGTTCAAAAACTTATAGATCACAAGAGCAAGTAAAATAAAAAGTTGCATCCTTCAAAGAAAACATGCATTGTTCAAAAAAATTAGAATGGGAAACAAAAAGAGTACAAAAGAAAAGAAAAGCAGATAGATGCATCAGATTCTTAAAAAAAAAAAAAATTGGCTTTTATTTTACAACCAAAACTACGTCCCAAGAATCAACCTTTGGCACACTGATTCTAAGAGCCAGAAGAAGGAAGACTCCCACTCCCAATCCAGCAATCCTATTCCAAAATAAAAGATATCACCAAAAAACAAAAAAACTCCATAAATGAACAAAAAATCAATAGCTTCAACAACATATATATATATATATATATATATATATCAAAAGGCGATGGATTGAGTCAGGATCAAGGCAAAGAATAGTAGCAGATCCTGCAAATCGCACAACACATTGTTATACATCATACAAGCAATAGAGAGAGAAATAGAACTATGGTAATTCAAAAGCAAATAAAACATTAATCAGGAAAAAAAAATATATGGCAATTCGAAAGCAAACAGAACATTAATCAGGGAAAAAATACCTGAAAGAGATGGATTGTATATTGTTATATATATATATATAGAGAGAGAGAGAGAGAGAGAGAGAGAGAGAGACAAATAATTTTGAACCATCAAAGAGGCGATCCGAGTTAAAATGAATGGAAAAACAGAGAGGGAGAGATCTGAGAGAGAATGAGAAGAAGATTGAAGAGCGTAACTGATATTTCAAATGAATATTCCATCAGATGTTGCTATAATGGTGTATTGTACTCCATGATTTATATCAATATTACATAATAGAAACTGAAGATCCAAAATAATACTAATAGTAGTTAGGTACTTATAAACATAAAAACTGACCACCATTTATTAAAACAAGCAAAGAAAAGAAAAAAAAAATAATTGAAAGCAAAGACCTACCCATAAAAAGCAATCACCAGATTTATTAGCATTCATCAATAAACCTATTTAACATATTTCGGTTTTAACTCCATCTATGTACAGTGCATGTGGTGAATATTTTGAAGGGCAATCTTGACTCCAAAAGGCAAGCATGGAGTTAATTAACTTAATGTAATAACAGAACATGCCAGAGAAACTTATGGAAGGATAATAAAATGCTCACAGATTAGTGCATTTCAGATAGGTAACTTTTGATGGTACTACCCTCTTTTTTGGTTTTACTTTTGATGATAATACCCTCTTTTTATTGATTTTATTGTGTAAATGAAGTATCTGCTGCTCAATACCTCATAAGCTCCTGTCTCTCTATGAATCCTACTGAGTAATAGCTAATTCAAAAAGACATCTATGTTGAGTATGTTAGAGAGAATGGCCAGAAAATAATGACAATAATATAGTACCTGGTAAGCTACTGCAAGAGATCGTAACCCTTGCTCTGCAAACTTATCAATCATAGCATGAACTCTACGCTCTATTTCCGATTTATTGTGTGTGAGATTCAGTATCTAACAACCATATCCAATGATAATTAGGCACAAAAAAAGATAAAAAGGAAAAAAAAAAAAGAAAAAAAAAGAAGAAGCAATATCAGATGCAAGATATAATGGAAACAGTTACTAATTAATATACTTGTTCTGGTGCAGCTTTGCTGACTCGATGCATTTTACCTTCACCATCGATAAACGTCAGAGCTGTTCACTTATCAGTGGCGTTAAATGAAAGGAAGTGAACCTCTTGAATGCCAGCCCGTGCCTTAGTTTTTAGTAGAAGTCAAAGAGGAAAAATAGAAACACACATATTGAATGGAGACTGATAACAAAAGTCATTCAGAAGGAAAATCTCACTCAATATTATGGTGCATTTGTTTCAGCTATTCAGAATCAGAAGCGTAAATTTTTTTTGCACCCCCATCTTATGTAGTAGAAAGTTTGTATACTAATTAACACCCCTCTTTTGGATTAGCCAACGTCCCGATAATAGCAGTATCTATTGCATCTTGGTTTTCCACTCGGGAGGCTCTAGCAGCCATCAAAACTACAGCCTCTCCATCTACTCCTCTAGAAAAGACCTATGAGAATCCATCTGGACAAAAGGTTGGAATATGAACTACATTACAGAATTTAGAAATTCAATCTGAAGCAAACAGTCCCCCAAACAACCTCAATAATACTTTTGTCAACAGTCAGTCGGTTCAATGTTAGAGTTCCTGTTTTGTCACTGCAAAGTACATCCATGCCTGCCATTTCTTCGATTGCTGTCATTCTTTTTGTGATGGCTCCCTACAATAATAAAGAATGAAGATGAGCTTGTACATAGTACATAGTAGCACGTGTGAGAGAGAGAGAGAGAGAGAGAGAATCTCTAAAAAATGGGAAAGACAACAATTAACCTTAATAAGCTACCTAGTACTAGAGAATCATCTCACATAAAACATATGTTTTGCAACTAAAAAATGGGGAAGCCAATAATTGTTAGGACTTGGTATTAGCCTTCTTCCTTGAAGAAATATGAAACCGGTTAATTATCAGTTTTGATTGCATTAGAGATTGTCAAAAAGTAAACGGGAACAAGTAATTTGGCACAAGCAATTGAAAATATGCATATGCATAAAGACTAGTACCATATGTTACAATTCAATAATGTAAACAGTGTTCAGAAAATTTATCAATTAATTATGTAGTTTACCATATAGTATGGTGTTCACAACAAAGAAGCCCCATAGATGATTACCAAAGCCAAGTACCATGAGAATGGTGAAATGGAAAAATTAGTGAAACATAATATTTTGTTAATCTTGCAACTGGTTGTCATGGTCTACATTTATAATGTTAACTATAGCCATAGGTCTAGTTAAAACAATCTGAACTGATAATGCTAGCCCGAAGGGTTGAGGTACAAACTCTATGAGACTATAAGTTGATTGATTGTTTTCTCCGTATAGTAGGTTGGTTTGCTATGTTCTCACTTTTGTGCGGCTGGCTGCATTATTAATGGTAGGTTAGAATTTTCAAGCATAGTTCAAGCTAGTACTACCAAACCAAATATGCGTGAGACCACTGACGGTTCAAGCAACTTTTAGAGTTCAAAATCATCACAAAAGTGAAGTTTGAACTCCATAGAGATGTAACCACAAGATAAAGAAAAGATACAAAAGAAAAGATAATATGAAATTAATATAAAAATTCAGAACAATCTTATCTTATGATTAATAGTCATAGATTACCTTTAGAATCAACGATTCTCAGCCCTAGTAATAAAAGAGACTCCATTTAACAAGTTTCATCACCGTATCCATAACTTTGTTTTGTTAATTGATCAATTATAGAAATGAGACACAACTTACACACGGTATCAATTGATCATTCTAAATGGAGTTTTTCTCGTAGGCTCCTTGATTTTTCTTATATGTTTCTGTCAACATTTTATCTAATTTATGAGAAGTGTAAGTCACTGCCGGGATTTGAAAACTAAAACTGGTTATCCAAAACAAGAGGCAGTTCAAAAGTGTTAATCTGGCTTCTGGTATTCTGGGAAATTGCACATTCAATTGTGCACCAATCATATAGTGTAAATTACAAATGAGAGAATTAATTTTCATACTCTCAAACAGAGGAGAGATGGAAACAAAACCTAGAAACAACAAAGTAGACAGAATCAGGCTTAGCTTGGATGACAGTTTTGGTAAA